TCCGTGGGCGGGGAGTAGACGGAGGTTAGGAGGAATTGCTGCTCTTCAAAGATGACTAGAATAGTAACGAAGTCTCTTTCTGTGGTTACTACGTATGGAGACCAGGAGGGGTTGCAGCAGACAATGGCTGCCCGTGGTGCTTGTTCTGCATTGGCTTTCTTCTGAAAAATTTTCCATGCCAGTGGTAGGCTTGCCACTTGGCCCTCGCGACAATAAGGTTCTTGAATTATCAAGAAATCTAAGTTATATTGAATAGCATGCTGGACTACCTGCGTGGTCGCGGCTACCGCCCGTTGTAAGTTAATTTGTGTGCACTTTATCTGTGCTTGATTAGAATTAGCTTCCGCACTTGAAGTTTCTTGGGTTGGCCCGCGTATCGCTTGTTCTGTTGTCGTGCTGTTCGGCTTTTGTTCATTATTCATAGAGAGTGCTCCTTCTGACGCGTTCGATGTATCGTCCATACGTTGGGCAGTTGGTATCATAGGTCGGATGGTTGCATGGCATTGTGCTGCGCGTTTTATAGTTGACGTCTGAACAGTTGATGCATGTTGGCCTGCTGGCGTGACAGTCCTTAACACTGTGACTTCCAGAGCAGAAGGCACAGTAGATTCTATTGGTGCATGTTTGCTGCAGATGGCCAAACTCCTGGCATCGGAAACATCTTTTTTGTGTCGAAGTGCTCAGCAATCCTATGTCCTCTCCACCCAATGAAGAGCTTGGATGACTGGAGGAGGCTTCTAAATGCGCTGGTTGACATTCAAGTATCCATTTGACGGGTGTTTCCTCTGTCCTTGAGTCGGTACATGACTTTGGCTGTTGTTTTGGTGAGGTGGAGTTCTGAGGCGAGTGCATTTTCTATCTCTTCTGGCTGGACGTCAGGAGATACGTTGTGGATAGCCACTCGTGGTAGTCTAGTCAGTGGTTGCTTGATCTTGACTATTACTTGTCCTGCGTGCTTTGTAAAGTAGTAGTGAGCTTGGTCACGTCCTCTTTGGAAACACAGTCTACAGCTAGTCCTCCTTTCTGTAGATTTCTAATGGAGGAGATTTTAACTCCAAGCTTCTGAATAGGGAAATTTTCGTTAAGGACAGCTTTTAGGTCCTTATTACCCTGTGCAGTACCCTCAGAGGGATAAATTAAAACCGTATGTTTTGGCTTCGGTCTGGTTGCTTGCGCGTATGTTTTTGACTCTGACGACGGTATCGCTAAGCGCTGATGAATCGTTGGGAGCTGTGCCGTGCAATGAACCGCAACAGACTATGGAGGGAGTGTTGGTACAGGCGTCTGCTGCTTCTGGTTTCGGTATGTAATTTGGACCTTCGAGTGCCAAAGTGTGCACTGCGTCTATCAAATCCAGGAGAGATACCTTTACGTCTGAAGGAAGAAGGTATCTGCCTCGTCTTTGTATGGAGGCTGTTTTTCTAAGACTTTCGCAGAGCTTATTGATTTTTGTGTGATAGTCTAATTCTGAGCCAGCAAGAGTTGCCGGATCAGAGTCGCAGTTAGAATTGTCGTACTCAGCCACTGAGGTTGATGGCCGTGTCATAGTAGCAATCACTTGCACTATACAATGCGAGAAACAATTGTGGACTTGAGATGGCGCACTGAATTTGATGCAAAGAGTAAAATCACATAGAGACACACACAGAAGTCGCTTCACAGGTATCACTGTTACACTTAAAGATCACTTATACACTTCACTGTAGTAAAAATTTCACTGTGACACTTACTCTGCTCGTAAATTCACTCACTGAACGTAAATGCACTTGTGCTAATCAGCACTAATCACTAATGCACTTTTTGTGCACTAATTACTTGCACACGTATCACTGTAAGCACTTAATAATCACTTATTCACTTTCACTGTAGTAAAATTTCACTGTGACACTAACTCTAATCAGCACTAATCACTAATGCACTTTTGTGCACTAATTACTTGCACACGTATCACTGTAAGCATTAATCACTTATTCACTTTTCACTTTCACTGTGACACTAACTCTAATCACTAATACACTTTTTGTGCACTAATTACTTGCACACTTATCACTGTAAGCACTTAATAATCACTTATTCACTTTCACTGCAGTAAAATTTCACTGTGACACTAACTCTGCTCGTAATTCACACACACTTGCACTTTAAGTAACGCTAATGCTCTTATTCGAAGAAATTTGTAATGGTCAACAAATTAATTAATGCTAATTAATAAAATAGAATAATAAAAGGTGACCAGAATGCTGTAATAGTACTATTATACATTCACGGAATGAATAATATGCACAGGGATACACACAAATAATATAGTATTACTATTTATGTTTAATTACTGCCTAATTAAAACACGTTGGTAAGCCAATTACCACACATAAAAGTTTAGAATAAAGTACAGAGAAACTAAATCATAATGCTCTGATAGAAATGCTACTGTTTATGCATTCCGTAAAAACATATTATCAAATACTGATACAAGAGAATTATACTGGCAATTAATATAATTAATGAGCCAGTTTGAACTGAGGTAAATAAAACAGATTTGTAATGGGAGCTAGAGCCTTCTGTGCAGAGTACAAATTAAATGCACACGATCACAGCAAAATTGTAGCGTTAGAAACTGTAATTAAATTAACATAGCAGTAATAGATATTATTAGATAGCACAAAATGACACAAATTGACATAGTTTGATAATTATACAGTATCCGGTGTTATACCTGAAGCCTATTTTATAATATGAAGTTAATGACTAAAATTAGCCGAGTCTAACCAGTAAGTAATGCGATTCTTAATTAAACTAATTGATTTAATTAGAAACAGGCAATCCTACCTTGGTTGCTAACCTTCTCTGTACCTATCTATAAGCAGCCGCGGTAAGCGAATTGGACACTTGGGCCGCTATTTTCTCTGCTCTTCTTCTGTATAATGAGTTTCTGCAGAAATCGTTCAAATATTGTCACTGTGTAATCCAAGAGATGGGACATAAATCAGGTAAACACTGTACGTAAACACAGAGTCGCGCGAAGGTGAAAATCCTATGTCCAAAATAAAGTCACAAAAAATGAAAACTCGGGTTGTAGTCGTCCAAAAAATTTGAAATTTATATCCCTGTAATCCCTGTCACATGAAGGAGTCCAAAACTGAAGGTTCCGAAGAGCTACTTCCAGTTAGTTGCCTAATTAGCGAAAAGACGAATTAAAACACAGTCCCTTTTGTTGGTCTTCTTTCCCCTTTGTTGATAGAAAGGAAGTCGCTGACGCCGGGGGTCGCTGGACTGCAGGTGGTCGTTGGATTCGCTTGAAAAGGTCAAGGGTCACGGACACCTCGTGGCTGCAGAATCACTTACTTTAAAAATTAATTACTAGCGGTATAATTAACCAATTGTCTTGAAACTGGTCTGTAAATACTCCTTGTAAGGTCCTCTTTCCAGCGATATAAAATTCAATATGATTCGGCTTCCGGCGGTCGCTCAAAAACAATTTAAGGTTCAGCCCCGTTGGATGTTAAACTGAGAAATTAATGAATCCGTAATTAATGAACCGTTGGTCGTAGAACCAAAACATTAGTGTCTACGTATTCCTACTGATGTGGGCTAAATAATAAAACTTGTTTCAGCACCTGAAAATAAAAACTTCCGCTGCTAAAGACGAAACACGAGGAGCGACGAAAATGCGACCTACTGCTGCAAATATGGCCGCTGAATTACCCGTTTATGACATAAATAAGCTCTGCCTTCTCAATTTAATTTAAATTTCCCACAATTACATGTCTATGAAAAGGCAGTTTTCTCGACAAAATTTTTGGCGATAAATTTCGCCAAGGCTTGGGCATTCTGCAGGCTCTTGGATAAACTAAATACGAGTGATAAAGTCCTCATCCTCATGGATACCATGTCAATAGCTAATGCTATTGACTGTATTCATAGAAAGTCAAATTCTCTCATTCTGCTGTGTGGATTGATGAAAGCCTTTTACTTTCTTGATATCATCTGTATCCCGGGCCACGATGAAGTAGGGTTGAATGAAAAATGTGACAAGCTGGCAAGGGAGGAAAACGACCAAAAGTTTAATGATCTTTCAGCAGAAGATGCGTGTCACTTCCTCACTGAGGCCATCAATGATGAGCAAGTTAATAGCTGGTTAACCTCTTATATAGGACGCAGACTCAGCTATTGTGATGTTTATAAAGAGTGGAGCAAAGTCTTAAACATCAATAAAGCAATGGAAGTTACGATTAGTAAAACGAGACATGCAGATGCTAGATACAAATCAGCTCCTGTATAGACAGTGGCGTAGCTAGGATGGGGCAAGAGGGGTTATCCAAGGGGCGTCAAAATGAAATGTTTCCCATTCTCGGCACACAGAAAGAGGCGCAAATTCTTCAATTGTCCCCGGGCTCTGGAAACTCTAGCTATGCCCTGTGTATAGATATCAAAGGTTAGACCTTACTGCGATAAGTGTCTAGTGATTGAAAGTACTGAACATGCAATTATTCATTGTAAAAAATACCATAATGTCCAGAAGCACAATGCTAAAGAAGATTAAACTAGGAGATATTGATCTAATGACTGATCTATTGGCTTACTGTAATAAGAACCCCGGGAGATACCGAATCCCGGGGAGCTCTATCACCAACTGCATTTAGAAGAATTCTTAAGAGCTTTAATTACGAGATACGGATTATTACTGAACTGATTCTCCCTTTGGAGTGAAGGGACCGTGTCCTTGCTTTTATTTTTCGAAAGTTGCATTCCTCACGCGTATAAGCACAAGGCACTGAAGGTACCAAGCTTCACGAAAAGAAGAAAAAGAGCATTTATCCAATCACCGGTGAGTCTGGAACATCTGTTCCTTCAGCTCTTCAAGAAAGGTGTATATTTTAGCTGATATTTTACTTAGGATTTTGCCTTAATTTCAATAGTCATTTGTTAAGTGAACAAATATTTTTCAAGCTTGGATAAAGTAACAATGAAAGCTGTTATATGTGGTCAGTTATTTATTTCAGATTAACGAAGCTCATGATAGACAGACTCTCCCACCCATGGCTTTGGTACGATACCATATTCTACTGTACTTCCGCAGGTCGTAAGTTTCAAAGAGCTGAGAACAAGTTACGTAATGTCGTTAGAAAGGTAAGAATATTTAAATTCCTCTTAATTTTACCGTTTATCTGCTTCAGTAAAAGTGTTATTTTCTAACAAAATGAGAACATTAAAAGTCACTCTTTTGTAACTTACTACAGGATAGAAACCGTGAAATTTTGTCCCTACACAAAACTGTTACTGTTATTGAAAATCCGTATATTTAGAATTTAAATATTCACTACGACTTGCAAATTAATTTAAAACTTGACACTAAGGTTTTTGACTTTCGAAAGCAATGCGAGCCAAGGGATGCTTAGCTTTGAAATGAATTGCATTTTCATTATTAGTTGCATTATATTTTATTTTCACATTTTTGCATGTTTTGATCACGTCATTGATTAGATTACTTACTTAATGGGTTTTCATCCGCAGAGAACCCGTTGGCGCTTCGGGGAAAGAACCCGTTGGCGAACTTTTAGAACAGAAAGGTATTTTTTTTTTTTTTTTTTTTTTCCATTTAAGTACGTTTTTCATTCCAAAATAATTTTACAGTAATTTGCATCGTGTATGGGAATTCTTCATATGCATCTTAGTATGCTACATTTTGGGGAATTAAATATTTGGAATAAGGACAAAACACGATGTTTGAACGCTTGAAAGAAGTGTAGGTTCTCAATCAAAATTCTAAAGGCAAAAAAGAAATCTGTTACCTTTTCTATCTTCGAGTTGGACAAGATGATTCCATTCTGTTCTGAAAGAAATCCTAATTCAAAGATTCTTTAAAAATTCCCATTTTTTTTTTTTTTTTTTTTTTTTTTTTTTTTTTTTGTTTTTTTTTTTTTTTTTTTTTTTTTTTTTTTTTTTTTTTTTTTTTTTTTTTTTTTTTTTTTTTTTTTTTTTTTTTTTCTTTTTTTTTTTTTTTGCCACTTCTATTAAATATATAAACAGATTATATTTATGTATATTTATATACAATTATTAGATTACGTTTACATGAACATTACGCGCTTTCCGTTATACAATTTTTCTATTTCTGGTTCTGGTTCTGGTTCTAGTTCAAAGCAAATCAGAGTTCTATTTACATTTTTGTTAAGATTATTCTAGAGTTTAGATGTAAAGGCTCTGATTGTCCAGAGTTTAGATATAACGGCGATGGCAGTCCAGAGTTTAGATGTAATGGCGCTGGTAGTCCAGAGTTTAGATTAACAAGGAGTGTGAAATAAACTAATTCCCCCTGAAGAATCGGTATTGCTTCATTATCTTTTCAATTAATCATCCTTAAGTAATTTTCCTTATATATCTTCTTTATATGGTTTTTCTTTCTTTACAATTTATATGGCTTTAATTAGTTTTAAAATTTTTTGAGTAATTTAAATTTTAACAATTTTTGCGTCACAATATTGTGCATATCCACTACTATTGGACATTGCTTAGTGCTTAGTACATTTTTCCATGCCAATTTTTCCAAATTAAAAAAAATTAAATATTACTTAAAAATTACGAATTTGTAAACTGGAATTTATTTAGACTTCAAATTGTAAATCTTCATTATTTTTTTCACTTAATTTGAAATATAAGAATTTTACTAGAAATATTCCGTAATTATAATTATACATATACAGTCGATTCCGGTTAATCGGACCACATCGGGAAGCAATCGTTTTGATCCTAATAACCGGCTGGTCCGATAATACGAACATGTCCTATGTTGTAAAGCGGGACGTGCTATATGTAGCAAACAGTAAATGTACATGTAAATCATGTAGTAAAATGTAATTATGAACTTGGTCAAAGTGCGGTACACACATATGGCGAACATGCATACAAATTCTAAGAAACAATCTCCACGATACTCAACATGCGAAGCACAATAAAAGTAATTTCTTACTAAGTTCCAGTCAACATTTGAAGAACTTATCTAGTGTGATCTGACGCGTTCTCTTGACGGATTGCATGTGAACGAAATCGCCACGAACATCTAACGCAGCAATAGAACTGCCTTCATTTCCCTCCTGCATGAAATACCGACGCAAAGTTTCAATGCATTACCTCGCATCCTGGGTTGTCACTTGCACCAACTTATTAGCGGCATCATCATCAACACTTTCTTGGTGTTCCGATGCTGTCGTGTGTTTTGCTGCAACTTGAGCAACGATTGCAGCGTCGTAATCTTCATTTCATCGCAGCATTGAAGCTCGTTGCCAATGGATAAAAATTCTTCGCAGTTTTGTACCTGTTGAAGTTCCACATGTAAATCATCATTTTCACTTTCAATGAGCATGCCCACATCTATCTCCAAAATCAAATGCTTAAAGCCACAGCGAGAAAAACAGTTCTGAATTGTCTCACTGCTCACGTTTCGCCAGCTGTCGGCCACAAATGCTTATAAGATGTTGACCTTTGTACTGACTTTGATGGCTTTTGACGATGAGATCAGCAAACTTTCTTCAATTGCTTCAAGGATGTAATTAACCAACCTTGCACGATAAAGGGTCATCAAAATTTTTATGATGCCTATGACCATTGGCTGGACCAAAGCTGTAGTCCTGGGAGGTAGAAATTCCAGTTGGACGTTCATCAAGCAATCTAAATGAAGATGTGCTGCACAATTGTCAAGAAGAAGCAGCACTTTTCTCGACTGGCGTTGTAGCTCTCTGTCCCAATCCTTCAGCCATTCCTTAAAAAGTTCGGAGGTCATCCACGCATTTCTGTTCGCACGATACACAACTGGTAAACTCTCCATTCTAACTCCTTTAAAGCAGCGAGACTTAGTGCTTTTTCCTATAACCAACAGCTTCCTCTTGTCCGTTCCTAACATGTTTGAGCAGCACAAAACAGTTACGCTATCCATCGCTTTTTTGGAACCAGAGAGTGCAACATGTTTGTGACATAACGAGCCGTCCGGTGTCGCATGATAATACAGCCCAGTCTCATCAGCATTGTAGATATCATCTGCTGAAAAATTTTCAATTTCAAGCATCTGGACAATTGTCTAACCACAATTCAAACAAAACTTGGATAGACAATTTGCAGTGAGTTAGAAAATCCCTTTTAAGTTTACGTGAGTAGCGGTACAGCTACGTTCACTACTAATTTATCTCTGAAAGAAATTATTCCAGATTTGTGGCGGCTAGAAACAGTAGGAATTAAGGATACCGCTCAAACGTTGTATAGTAAAGAAGAAGAGCTAACCCATGGCATATTTCTTAAAGAACTTACTAGAAGTGAAGACGAACCTTACCGTTTTGGTCTTCTATGGACTTGTATCTAATTCGAACAGCTTTTCAAACAGAAATGAAGCAGAAAGGAGGTTGTTTAGCAGTACCAGAAGACTGAAGAAGTTAAATAAATTTGAAGATTATGACCTAGTCTCTAAAGAATGACCGAAAGAGAATGTCATACAGGAAGTCTCAAAAAAGGAATTAGAAGAAGTAGGAGGCTAGTACTTGCGTCACCATTCAGCTATTAAGCCAAAGAATGCCGCTACCTATAAGAGGCCAGTTTTTGAGCCTCGTGCAAAGCTGGAAGATCACCATCCCTAAACGACTATCTCTTCAAAGGACCTAACTTGATAAAAGAAATTCCGGCTATGTTATTGAGATTTCGAGAAAAGTCTACTGCCGTTGTTTCCGACATTAAAAGAGCCTTCCTTCAAATTGAAGTTAAAGAAGAAGATTCTCGTTTTTTGAGATTTTTATGGTGGGAGAATGCAGATAAAATTATATTCTATCAATATAACAGAGTGGTGTCTGGAGCTTCTTGTTGTCCATTTTTATTCAGCGTGGTTATAAGGAACCATTTGAACAAGTAATCCAGAAAAACTCAGAGCAATTACTAATAAATCCCTGAAGTCTTCCTATATTGACAACTTAGTAACCTTCTTACATAGTGCATCTAAATTAGAAGAACTGATCTCATTAAAGTCAAATTATGGCTGAAGATAAGCTAAATTTGAGATTATGACAATTCGGTCCTGTAGAAGAAACAGAAAACGTGTCATCTGAGAACAAAAAATTTGTTTAAAGAAGATTTTACAACTCCAGTTTCGGTTTTGGGGATTAGATGTGATAGAAATCAGGATTGTTTAATGATTTGCAATAAATTTGAGACTGAAATAGAAAATCCTATTAAACGGAAAATCTTATCTATGACACAAAGTAATTACGATCCCATCGGTTTTCTTGTCCCAGCCCTGTTCCCAGCTAAGCTAATGTTTCAGGAGGCTTGGTCGGCTAAATCAGAATGGGCTTCTCTGCTTCCATAGAAGATTCAAAAGGACTTTCGGAAATGGTACAGTGAATTCAAACAATTACCTAATTTAAAATTGAAGCCATTTAACTTAGCTTGGGAGCCAGATTAGTAAATTATATTTTTAAGGCTCTGGACATCCCTACAGCAACCGATTATAGATGGCTCTTCGATAGATATAGCATGGACACAAAAAAAGACCAATGGAATACTTTTGTCGGTAACAGAATCAGTAGAATCACACCGATGGTATCTTGTCCAGGCAATTTAAATCCGACGAAACTTGCCATCTCGTAGTTGTAGCCCTAAGCATATTATCGAGACGGGATGATTGGAGTTACCAAAATGGTTAAAGGACGAAACAAATTACTGGCCTAAGTCGGAAGAGGTTACTCATGAAGATTTAGTTATACCAGAAAGAAAGAAAAACTGCAACATCATTATTTCCTGTAAAAAAGTAGATCAATTCATGAATTATGAAAGACTTGAAATTTTTTTAATTTGTAAGTATTTTTTAAATTTGTAAGTATTAGTTTTAAATTTGTAAGTATTAAGTCTGCATTTACATAGTATTTAAGCACAGAAGTTTTCGAATCAATATTTATCTTGTACGTTTTGCTGTAGCTGACAAAACTATTTTCATAAATATAATCCTGCTCTAGTATCTCGATTTCAGTTATTTTCAATTAAATACAATCGAAAAATGCTTTTTTGAAAAATTAAAACATATGAGCAGCTAATGTGTTATGAATCGTAAGCCAACGAGAACAACCCGTATCACTGTGAAATGCTTCAAATCG